CAAACTGACAGAGACCAGTTTGCCTCCCAAGTTCGGAGATCAAGGCATGTTAACAAGCAGGCCCACAGCAAGCAGCTTCTTCCTCTGTATTAGGTTGGTCTCAGGCTTGTGGTGATCCTCCTCCCTCCCCTCTCCTGCCTGTTGGAATTTCAGGCATGAACTACCATACAACATTTCTGCCCTTCTAGCCAGGAATCTGTCTACTCCTGTTAACTGTACAACAAAGAAATGTAGGCACTGGACAGTAAGACAACTCACTCCATTTTCCAAAGCTGCATGGATTCCAGGAGACCCTGTATAAGTTCCTCCATACTGTTCACATAGAACATGTTCTGCTGACTGACTCAATATACTAAAGCAGCTCAGAACACATACTTACCAAAATGATTGAGGACTGAGGACTGGGATACTGAAGGCTTGAGGTCCCAAGAAGCAGTAGTGGCCGGGGGACTTGTACTGTTCTGCTGTGCACTTGACGTGGCCGCGAATGGGCTCAAACTGGGTGCTTTCAACTTGTCTAAAATCTGGGAGCTGGAGATATTCACCATCTTTGAGGGGGCCAGCTCTCCAAATCCCGAGCCCAGGACGGATGACTGTGAAGACAGGGAAAGAGAGCAAGCCCTGAGCTTTCTTTCACTTCAGGCTTGCAAACACAGTGGACTCACCTCGGATCATCTGAACAGGCAATCCTTGCTTTAGAGAACAGTAAGTACATGAAAATGCAACTATGCCTTCACAATCAACAAAATAAAGCGGCATTCCTCCCTGGTTCTGATGTGAGGTTAAGAAACCAAAACATTTACTACAATCTTGAAAAAAAATTTTAATTGTTTTATTTATTAGTTCCATTTATTATTTTAATTCATGCCTGCTGGGAATCAAACTTGGGTCCTCTGTAAGAGCAGTAACTGCTTTTATCATCTGGGCCTTCTCTCCAACCCAAAAATAAACTATTAAGAAACAAACCACTAAATGACAAAAGTATGCTGGACAGACCACACACAAAACTTCTATAACCTGTGAACAGTAGTTCTCTCTAATAACAGGAATAGCGGAGGTCAGTTCTGAGCGTTCCCTGCAATGTTAAACTGAAGTGAATGTCAGAAGCTCACATTCTAATGCCAGACAATAAAACCTGCAGGAAGCTGAAGAAATGCCCTGACGGTACTGGGCTCACCTTCTTCAGATCACTAAGAACACCAGTCAATCTCTATAAGTAAGAAAAAACAACAATGCTTCCCTCCTCCAGAGACTCTTTTTTTTTTTTTTAAAGAATTATTTATTATAGTGTTCTGTTTGCATGTATGGCTACACTCCAGAAGAGGGCACCAGATCTCATTACAGATGGTTGTGAGCTACCATGCGGATGCTGGGAATTGAACTCAGGACCTCTCAAAGAGCAGCCAGTGCTCTTAACCACTGAGTCATTTCTCCAGCCCTAAACTTAGGTTTTTAGGAATGAACTTTCTGCTACTCAAATGCCCGGGGGAATAATATATGAGCCATCTTTCCAGCCTGAGTGTGTGTATCTTACAGAAGTTAAATCAAAGGAGAGGAAAAAAAAAAAATTTTTTTTTTTTGGGCATCAAACTCTTGAGATCCTCGGGCCTCTGCCTCCTGAGTGCTGGAGTTAAAGGCATGCACCATCATGCCTGGCTATTATCAGTATTCTAAGGTGTGGAATAGCCCAGTTAGAAAATTCAGAGTTCTTCACTTGAGAAAAATACACTAGGTCATGGGCAGCTTTGGCCCATCAATCACAGCTCCTGCCTCTTAGCACATTTGTGCCAATGTTATTTTGCCATCAAAGCCCTGCTCAAGTCCATCTGGTGTAAGTCTACCCAAGTGCTAGTCTTCTTACTGACACAGCATCCACCATCCATCCCAGCTACTATCAAATACTTTTTCTCTACAGCCACTGCTTTGCTCTCTGTAACAGGACAGTCTCAATTCCATCTACTTCACTGAACCAATAAGATAGAGTCCAAGTCCTAATACACTGTCTCATTCTGCCTTATGTTAACCTATTTTTACTATTAGTAGTAGTAAGTTGTTATTTAATTTCACCAATGATTATAAATAGTAGCAACTTTTAGAGCCATGGCTCTAATATAATGCTAAACAGCTTTCACTATAGTGTCTCGAGCTATTGATTATAGTATCAACAGACTTGATGGTCGAGCTCCATCTTGGCCTCAGTGACCACATAGAGACTCTAAAGTTAGAAACACTGCATCAGCAGCTAACGGGAAGGCAGAGGGAGCACACATTAGAGTTTCCTCTGTATTTACTTTGCATTACAACAGACTTCAGCCATCCTCCTGCAGCTGCATTCCTTCACAGGCTGCACTCCAAGCTTACAGCCCCACCCGCCTGTCTTCTTCACTACCAATCCCAGAATTCTTCCTGATCGATGGAAGTCACTGCAAAAGCACTGAGGAGTCACAGTCACTACGCCTCTCTATGAGTGGGTGGCACTATTTGAAGAAAAACATAACACTGAAGTAAGGACCTCTGTCGTGTTACTTGGCAATTGAAGAGAAGGGAGTGTATTTCAGGGAGTAGAGTGCCAAGTAGGCACACCTGGACAGACGAGACAAACATCTGCATTTTATTCAATTTGAAAACAAAAATTTTAGAACATATTCAATACACAAACAGACCTTGAAACGAAATCTAGGAGAACATAATCCCTTGGGCTGCCCTGATGGCCCAACAGTACAGAGTGGGAACTGACTCCTACAAGCTCTCTGACCTCTTCAAGGGGGTCATGGTGTACACACGGCCTACCCTCAAGTACACGCATAATAAATAGAAGTGAAAGAAAAGCTTTTAAAAAATCATTAATAAGAAGGAACTCTTCATCCCAGTTACTGGTCACTGACAAGTGAAGAAGTTTTCATCTCAGCCCAGGAAACTCAGTAGCTGAGCTCCACACGGAATCATCAGATATGTGCTTGGAAATCATCACATCATTGTTTCCTGGACGAGGACCTACTGCCACATTTCACTCCTTGTCAGGAGAAACTGTAAGGTGTGAGCCGTGAAGTCTTGAGGACTTGCTAACGGGCGCCTTCCTGAAGACCCCAACTTGAAATAAAATGAGTTACCAAGCTCTGAGGCGGATAGGCGTTGGCGGAAGTGGAGCCACCAGTCCCTGGTGCCGTCTGATTGTTGTGTTGAGAATTTGTGAAGACGAGTGCTTGCCCAAAGCCCTGCTGCTGGGATGCTTCAAAGGAGTTGGCTTCTGCGGCTTGAGTGGGAGGGACAGGCTTCTGCAGCAAGGCCACCAGGTCAATGCTAAGCAGAGGAGAGACAAAGGAGCAATCAGCTGTCAGGAGCAAGTTGCACCAGCCAGCAAACTGGAGAGCAAATCAATATAAAGAAAATTTAGCCAGAGATTGAATAAGCAAAACCAGTGGACAATGGAGTTTCAGAAAGATTAAAAGAGAAGCTGAGCAGTCACCAAACAGGTTACGAAGGCAGAGAGAACTGCAACTTAGAAACAGGCACTGAGGGGTTCCAATGACACCCCAAGAGGAACTGCAATGTCTTACAGACACCATTACTTGAGCTCATGTTTCTCCAATTTTCTTTTTTTTTCTGTTCAACATTTTGATTTATGTTTGCTTTGAGACAGAGTGTTACTATGTACATCAGGCTAGTCTCTAACTCAAGAGTTCCCCCAGCCTCTGCCTCCTCAGTGGTAGGATTAAAGGTGTGTGCCACCACCCACAGCTTCAATTCTCTTGAAACAGAGTGAATCGATATTCTTAAAGCATCAAGACCTCAACCATGGCAGAGTTTTTAAGTCTTAAGTTTATCTGAAATATCCATATAAACTGTGTATTCTATCCCATAACACATTTAACCATGTATAATTTTCTCTCTAAAATATTTAATAATAAAGGAATAACAAACTAACACAGACTTTCAAGACAGGGTTTCTTTGCTATCCTAGAACTAGCTCTGTAGACCAGGCTGGCCTTGAACCCACAGAGATCAGCCTGTAAAGGCATGCAACACCATTACCCAGTGTAACGAAGTATTGTATAATGCCCCCATCACCCTGACCAAAAGCATGGACTCAAGAAAATGAAGTTTGGGCTAAACACTGCCTGCCACATGGATGACTTACCCAGTAGAGTGGGAGCTGCAAAAGGTTTGCCCAGGATGGTACTCCATGAGTCCTTTCAAAGTCTTGCTCAAAACAGTTCTCTAACTGAAACTCTCACCTCGTCAGTGAAACAGGGTCTGGGGAGTTCAATCATTCAGGCTTTCTTCCTCATACAGAGCACGCTGCTAGGCCATGTTCTTTTCCTTATACACAACCATTTTTACTCTCCTGAAACCAATTCAATTTTGAGGCTAATAATCTAAAACCTAAGTTGGTGTTCTAATACATGATATCCCAACTCCAGTGAAACAAGTCAGTTATGTATATTGCATATAGTGCTAATAAAACTTGCAACACTACCAGAATCAAAGCACGTTCTACTCCAAAAGGTTAGTAAGACTCAAGTGAGAACCAGTACTGCAGGATCTTCTGTAAAAGCACTCGAGCCTGGCATGGCGGCACACACTTTTTATCCCAGCATTCAGGAGGCAGAGGCAAACAGATCTCGGGTCTACAAAGTTACTTCCATGACAGGCAGAGCTATGTAGAGAGAACCTGTCTCAAAAATAAATAAAAGGACATACAAGCAGTCCACAGTTTTGACCAGTGAGGTGGCTTAGAGAGTCAAGACGCCTGCCACCAAACAAAGCCTAACAGCCCGAGTTCAGCCGCAGGGACCCACATGGTGGAAGGAGAACACCAACACTCGTGGACTGTCTTCTGACCTGCGCTCGTGTGGGAGCACATCACACCTACACCCCAAAATAGAAATCCAATGCACATACACAATAAAAAAAAATAAGGAGGAGGAGGAGGAAGAGAAGGAGGAGGAAATCTTCATCCCAGTTACTGGTCACTGACAAGTGAAGAAGTTTTCATCTCAGCCCAGGAAACTCAGTAGCTGAGCTCCACACGGAATCATCAGATATGTGCTTGGAAATCATCACATCATTGTTTCCTGGACGAGGACCTACTGCCACATTTCACTCCTTGTCAGGACAAACTGCAAGGTGTGAGCCGTGAAGTCTTGAGGACTTGCTAACGGGCGCCTTCCTGAAGACCCCATACTGAATGAGGTTGTGCATGGTGGCGCATACCTTTAATCCCAGCAATTGGGAGGCTGATGCAGGTCGATCTCTGAGTTTGAGGCCAGCCTGGTCTACTTGGTTCCCAGACAGCCAGGGTTACAAGGTGAGACCCTATTACAAACAAGTAAGCACAAAAGCACATCATACTGAAACAGAATGGAGCGGCCAAACTCTAGGGAGAATAGTCACTGGCAGCAGTGGAGTTTGCAGTCCCTGGTGCCATCTGATTAGCTGTGTTGAGCAGAGCATTTGGGAAGGCATTGGCTTGTCCAAAACAGCAAGGTTTTTTGTTTGTTTGTTTGTGTTTGTGTGTGTGTGTGTGTTTTGTTGTTTATCATTTTGGTTGGGTTTTTTGTTTGTTTGGGTTTTCAAGACAGGATTTCTCTGTGTAACAGCTCTGGCTGTCTTGGAACTCTGTAGACCAGGCTGGCCTCCAACTCACAGAGATCCACCTGCCTCTGCCTCTGGGGTGCTGGGATTAAAAGGAGTGCGCACCACCACTGCCTGGATATGTTCGGGTTTTTTAACATAAGGTTTCAGGTAGTCAAGGTCAGCCTCAAATTTACTTTGTATATAAGCCTTGCTTTGAACTCCTTCTGCCTCCCACTCCTGAACACTAAGATTAAAGGTATTCCCCATCATGCCTAAATCCATTATCTTGTTTTTCATATTTATTCATTTTATGTGGTGTTTCACTTGCAGGTGTATCTATGTGCCACATGTGTGCCTGGTGCCCGTGGAGATCAGAAGAGGGTGACAGGTCCGTGAACTGGAGTTATGGACCACTATGAGTAGCCATGGTAGTGCTAGTATCTAAGTTGGGTTTTATGCAAGAATAAGTGCTCTTAACCACCGATCCACCTTTCCAGCTCTCTCGATTATCTTTCTAAGAAATTAAAGTACCACTAGTAAATTAGTCATTTTTCACTTAGTCATAAATGCAATGGAGGTGTATGCATCTTTCTCTCCTATAATAAAGTTCTAACTGCCTCATTTAGCTTGTTTTTGAGAAGCCAGATTCAAATTTGCCTTCCAGCATTTAAAATTTTTTTGTTTTAAAATTAAATACCTTTAGAGCATGTGTGTACACGTTTGCATGCTTGTATTAAGGTCAGAGAACAGACTGTGTAGGAGTCAGTCACACAGACCCTTAAAATCATTTTCAAAGGTGTTTAGAATTACTGTGAAAAGTACGATTCAGTAAGAATTCAGCTAAAACCTGGTATGGTAACCCCCATCTGTAAGCCTAGGGGAAGAGTACGAGGCAGTAGGACTGCTGTGGGACCAGCCTAGACTACAGAGCAAAATCACGAAGAGGAAATAAGGTAATTCTGCCATGTATACATTCATTTCTGACCAGTCTCACTATAGCACACATTATCTTTAAACCCATGACACTTCTGCCTCAGCCTTTGGAACACTAGGATCACAAGCAGTATTAACTACCAAGCCTGACCATCCAATCCAGGTTTAAGAATGTCATTAGCCTCAGGGCTGCACAGACCATCAGTCAAGAGATGTCCTAGCAAATCCAAGGATCTAAGTTTGATCTCTAGACTCTGTATGAAAAATACAGGGCCTGGTGGCACTGGAGAGGACAGGACAGATGGACTGACTCTTAGGTGTGCTGGGAAGGCCAGCCTAGCCTCCTTAATAGTTCCCAGCCACTGAGAAACTTATCTCCAAAAAACAAAAAACACTGGGCCCAGCAAGAAGGTTCATCAGGTAGAGGTGGATACTGCCGAGCCAGAAAACCTTAGTTTGAAATCCGGAATCCACAGGATGGACAAAAGTGAATGCCACAGGTTTTCCTCTGATTTCTTCCACAACAGTGCTATGGCACATGGGCATGGTGCACATGCACCAATGTGCACAAACACACAAAAATAAATAAATGTAAAACAATGTTTTTTCAGGGTGGACAGCCCCTCTGAAAGACAACACAAGGCTGTCTGTCCTCTAGCCTCTACATACCTGCATCCTTATACACACAGAGAATATTAACCTCAAAGGGCCTCCTTTTTCTGGAATTTAGCACATTATAATTAATATACCCATTTAAAATGACTAGTTTGAATCAGGATAGAGACCACCTAAACAAGTGCATGGAGAAACCAAAGAATTAATGCAGTAAGTGTATTCTTTAAATGAAAAAATTGTTTTAGCCAGGAATAGTAATATAACACCCAGAACTCCAGAGGCAGAGGCAGGAAGATCTCTAGGTTCTAAGCTAGCCTGGGCTACATAGTAAGACCCTGTCTCAAGGGCAAAAACAAAACTTTACTAGAGACTAACTATGCATTATAACTAGGTTTAGTATACTCTCCAGCCAGCTGCTAACAAATCCCAACAACACGTCATTCAATCACCCTTGGACACACTAATAAGACGTGAGTGAATATGGGTGCTGCAGGCAGGGGAAGTACAGGCTAGATAGAGGAAGGAGAGAAACTCAAAGATCTGAGTAAACACGAAACAGTTGCCCTAAAACAAATGAAATTTCAATTAGGCTCTGAATGAAAAAAAGATAAAAAGAAAACCCAGAAAAAACCGCTTTACCTTTGCCCAGGTGAGCTGTGGTTCTCTGCTGGAACAGATGAAGCAGTGAACACTTTGGTTTCAGAAAGCTGTATGGAAAGTTCAAGAGGAAAATCTTTACTCTTGGTCTGCACAATACAAAGCAAGACATATTTGACTGGTGACCTTTTCAGACAGCAGAGTTCTTAGGGCCACCTAGAGGGCTAGGAGGGGTGGGAGCGGCGGGAGCGGCGGGAGCAGTGGGAGCAGCAGACATAATGAGATGAAGAGCTCTGGGCTTTTCCTGAGAGCAGCCATGACACACTGAGAGGAAGAAAGGTCGGAATGGACACTAGACACCTACATCTTCAGTCCAGTCTTCTGTTGTCCACTCTTCCACAGAATTTTTCCAGGCACCTGACAGGGAACAAAAAGGGCCCAGCACAGGTCAACCATATTACCAATGATTCTGTGTATTATGCAAGAAAAACAATTCATCTCATTAGTAATTTACTTAACAATCCAAGAAACATGATTTCTTTAAATCTATTCTAATCTTAGTAAAAATAAAAAATGATTCTATATAAAATACCCAGAACTAAATGCTTAAATCTAATTAATGCCTCAAACTGCAATTTAAGAAATATTTTAGCAATTCTGCTGTAAGAAAATGCAAACATGCTCAAATAAATAAATAAATAAAAAACAAAGACGATCAACAACAGATTTATTCCTTATGATACACATTATTTTATAACTGAGAACTAGAATAGCCAGATATGGTAGAATACCCTTCAGGAGGGAGCTCTGTGAGTTCGAGACCACCCTAGTGTATATACACAGTTGCAGCACAGCTAGGACTATGTAGGAAGACTATGTCAAACCAACAATCTAAAATAGACAAATAAGATGGAACACAGGGCAGGACAGAGTGCTTGCCTAGCATGTGTAAGACTCAATTTCTGGTACTGAAAAAAAAGGCGCTAGAGAGTTCATTAGCTCGTCAGTGAAGTGCTCACTGTACGAGGAAGCATGAGGACTTGAAAACAATTCTCAGAACCATGACTTATTATTATTATTTTGGTTTTTCGAGACAGGGTTTCTCTGTGTAGCTTTGCGCCTTTCCTGGAACTCACTTGGTAGCCCAGGCTGGCCTCGAACTCACAGAGATCCGCCTGGCTCTGCCTCCCGAGTGCCGGGATTAAAGGCGTGCGCCACCACCGCCCAGCAGAACCATGACTTATTAAAAAAAAAAAAAGTATTCAGGGGCTAGGGGGACAGGGACGGGAAGAGTAGTTGGCGGCTATCCAAGCCTGAAGAACGGAGCTTGATTTCCAGTAACTCACGAGCATGGCCAACCCAGTGACGGGGAATGGAGACAGGTGGATACCAGAGTTCAGCCAGCACGGCTGAATCAGTGTGCCTCTGGTTCAGTAAGAATGCGCTGGAAAGCAGTAGAGGAAGGTACCTGATGTCCTCCCCCAGACTCCGAGTGCTTACTTTGGGTATGTTTCCCTGCACAGGTCATACAAACAAACAAATAAGCTGGGTATGACGGCACATGTTGATCCTTGGGAGGCGGGGACAGGAAGCTCCCCGAGGCACACTGGCAGGCCAGCTTAGCCCACTGGAGGCTCCGAAGTGAGAGACCCAGTCTCAAAACACAAAAGGGATGTGCGGCTCCTAAGAAATGACACCTGAATTTGACCTCGGTTCCATGCATGTGTACCCACATGTGAACCCACATGAGCACATAATTACAGTTTAAAGAGAAGATAAAAATTTAAAGGAACATTATTTTAATGCAAATCTGCACCAGGCCCTATATCACGTAGATTACTATTATCAGATTTAGAGAACAAGGTTAAAAAATATTAGCTATATTACAGAGTTCCCAACAAAGTTCACACAATGTCATTACCATAACTGTCATCCTATTCTAAGTTCAGAGGAGCAGGAAATAATTTTAAAATTAACACAAAAGGAGGCCGTGAGAAACTGAGTATGTTTCTAAACAGGAAGACATCATGTGTGATGATAGCAGTAGGCAGGAGAAACCATGAATTGGTGTGTTGAGAAACAGGTGGGAAAGCCAGAGGCATATGGTGCAATAGCTTGCAGTATAAAAATGCCGCTCACTGGCTAGGAGGGCGGGCAACTCAGACTCTTTTTTGCCCTGTTTTTTGATACAGGGTTTCTCTGTGTAGCCCTGGATGTCCTGGAACTCGATCTGCAGACCAGGCTGTGGCCTCGAACTCATGGAGACCTGCCTGCCTCTGCCTTCTAAGTGCTGGGATTAAAGGCGTTTGCTGCTGCCACCACCACCTGACTGAGCCCAGACTCTTACCAATTCTAGAAC